CACTAACTTAGAGTCTGAATTTAGTGGTTAAAAATGTGGCAGGAACTGGACACAGGGTCCAGACACATATACAGTTACTGTCTGACTTTGAGGGCGTCTGTTTGTGGGTGCGTCTTTGTATTACTTACATTATAGGGACCGAAACTTGTTAACACACTCGCATTATGGGGACCCAGCCATCACTTAGCCAAATCACTGAATTTTAGGGTGGCAACATAGTTTAAGGTTAGGTGTTAGGCAAGTAGTGGTTATGGTTATGGTCAGGATAAGTCTACAGGAAATGAATGCAAGTCAATGCAAAGTCCCCACAAGGAATGAAAACACAGCGTGTGTGTGTGTGTTAGGGATGCACGCGCATGTGTATGTGTGTGGGCGTTTGTCACCACACACTGATGTGTTTATTTCACTGCAGCTGGGGTAATCACTCACACACAGAGACAGCCGCAACAGGCACACACACAAATATTCACATAGATACCCACAGTCACACAACACACACACACACACATCTATAACCCCACCTGCTGTGTGCAGTCCACAGGCCTTGCCTGGTTATCCTTATCTTGACTGGCTGGGACAGTCACAGGCAAAAGAAGTAGAACATTTCCATCAAAACTAAACCAAACCTGAATTAAATTAAATCACACTGGGACAATTCTTCATCAGTCTCTTACGGCAGGTTGCGTGAATTCACCGCCTGTGTCCAAAGAGCCTGTCCTGCTAAAAACCTTTTCTGACATTTCCCTGCTGAAACCAATAGTTTTCCATCAGCTTTCTTTCTCCTAAATCACAGTTTAAATAGATCTGGATGTTTCTGAAGGATTTCACAATGCTTCATATTGTCTCTTTCAGGAGCTTTAAATCATGTGTGTGTCGGGCAGAGGAGACTGATGACAACAGCAGTCCTGTGAGAGGAAAGTGTGCAGGAAATAATGGTGCATTGGTTGGTGTGTTTTTGTTGTAACCCCACAGCTATCAGCTGTTCAGTAGTAAGTTAAAATGTTGACTAGTCTGTCCCTTAGTGTACCTCATGTCATACTATGTATGAATGTGCATATATATGTTTTCAGGCTGTATCTGCATGTCTATCTCCTTAAATGCCTGGCCATACTGTACATTGATGTGCTTCCAGTATGTTGATGTGCACATGTACAAATACTGTGTAAATATGAATTTAAATTTTGTGTGTGTTTAGGGACCGAAGGCTTTGGTGTGGCATGCTGACAGTCACATGAAGCCAGCTGGGCATTACAGGGTGGGTATCACATATCAGGGCGCCAACCACATCACAGACAACTTTGTAACAGTTGTCAACTGGTCAACACAACAACAACCACCACTAATATTAGAATGTTTCAGACAGATCACAGGACACCAGCACAGAGCTGTCAATCATTCAAAATAAAAAAAAACTACAAGTGTGTGTGTATATGT